TGTGTGTGTGTGTGAGAGAATGTTCCTCTTTATCTCACTCAATGAGTGAGTGGAGGTTGGCTGTAAGGCTATCTGTCCCTCTCAGACACCCAATCTGTCTCTGTCACTGTGCTTGCAGCCTGCACACACACGCACACACACACACACACAGTGACGTTACCTTTGTTAGACGCTGATATTGCAGCAGTGCTACGTTATTTTGTGCCTTTGACGGTAGCCAGACCAAAAATGACAGTAATGACTGACCGAAATAAGTGAGTCGTTTTTCAGCTGGACTTAATTGTAATCAAATTAAGAATCTCGATCCAAGTTGAATTTATCAAAGTCCCTCTCTCTCTGGCTCTCTCTGTCATGGCAGACAGACAGTGCTCAGGGTGAGAGCTGCGCCTGTACTGAAGTATCCCATTGAGTCTGCTGAAGTGGACTTATCTACTACCATCCCTCCTCGCATCTCACTAAGACAGGGCTGAGCGCCACACTCATCCTGCTCTCCTCACACCAGAGAGGCCTCTCTCGTCAGGGCTCAGTCCCACACTTCAGACCCCCTCAACCACACATCCTCCTTACAGTTGGCAGAGTGCTGCGTGATACTCAAGGTAATGATGTTGTGTGTGTGCGCTGGCCAGATGATGGCAATGGTGATGATGTTGACTAGAAATATTGATGACACCGCTAAAGATGCTGGTAATTCATAAGGCAGAAATCCTGAATGCTAGCTGCTATAGCAACCAATATTCATGAACATACACAGTCAGAGTTAACAATAATGGAGAGATGAAAGGAAAAAGACATTTTCGAGTTGAATGGAATGGCATGTGGTGTAACAGACCATCTGCAAATGCTGTACAGTACCACTAGCAGGTTCATATACTGTAATAGTGCAGAGTGACTAAACACAGACTGGTAAATGTCCTTTGTCTACCATCTGGCTGTTCAGATTTTCATATTGCTACATGTTCTGTCGAAGGAAATATAGCACATTGCACTTTATAAAGTTGACTTTATGGGCTGTCCTTTCTTCTCACTTAATTAATCTTCTTTTCCCTCTCAAGACGTTTATGCCTCGTTCTTTGGCCACGCGTAGGACACAAAGAACAGATGCAAGGATGAATGTCAGGAATCCACACAGAACCCACTGAGCAATATTTGCCCTCATGACAGCTGTTTTTTTTTTTTTTATAAATTGCATGACGTTGAGCTTGATGTTGCTCAGATAATGTGATGTATGAATGCAGTTTTGAGTTTTGTCGCTGCAGTTGTTTTGCATACTGTCCCTTAAAATTAGGTGCTGACCCTCTATTTTAAATTAAATTATCAGTCAGTAATAGAAAATTTATATTATTGTGTATTATTACGATAATCCCATTTTAGCTGATAAATAGAGCCAATAATACAAAGCCAACTAACTTTGATTGACTTAACAAGCGCAGCAGTTGTCGCAGCAATAAAGGCATAATATAAAATGTCACATAATCCTCCTTTCTG